AGTTACTCAAGTGCCTGGGGCTGAGCTGCTGCTGCTGGCAGGAATTTCCCATTTGTCCTGGCATTCAGGCAGCCAAAACCCCCAAAGCAGGGTGGAAGGAAGGGACTCGTTTCTTTTCTGATTCCTGGAAAGCAAAAAGGGGAAAGGGCTTGTTTTCTTCCCAGGAGACACTGCCCATTAACTTCTTTTTGAGGGAAGGAAGCTCCTCTCCACATGTCCCACAGCTTGTCCAGGGAGGAGAAGGATGGGGCACGGCCTCGAAGCTATTCATTTTGCACAACTTAGAAGAAAATTGAAATAGAAATTGTCCTCAGCATGCCACCAGCAGCCCCAGGCACCATCTCATAGCGGGCAGCCACAGCCACACCAAGGCAGCCTCTCCTGGGAGAAGAAGGGGTTGCAATAACTCCGGTTATTACAGTGCCATAACAGAGGCATGGGTGGCTGGCCAGCTGATGCTACACCTCTTTGAGACACGGCACCCAGGGGAATTTACAAAGGCTTTAATTTACAAAGGCTTTTTTTTTTTTTTTTTTTTAAACAGTGGACCCCCCTCAGCATTGCCTCAGAAGGATTTGGATGGGTTTCATGAAAGCGTAGCATCATATAGTCATTAAGGTTGGAAAAGACCACCAAGATCATCTGGTCCAACCATCCCCCTACCACCACTGTCACCCACTAAACCATGTCCCAAGGACCACGTCCAACCTTTCCTTGAACACCCCCAGGGACGGTGACTCCACCACCTCCCTGGGCAACCCGTCCCAGTGCCTGACTGCTCTTTCTGAGAATAAATTTCTGATTTCCAACCTGATTTCCAGCTTGTTGACCACCAAAGGCCAACACAACTCTGAAGAGCAAACATCAGCCACGGGTGGGAAACAACGGGAAGTTCCCCCTGGTGTCCCAAGCTAGAAATAACTTTAGTCATAGGTGGGAAACTCGCTGGCTGGGAGCGTGTGGGGCTGTCAGCACGGGCGCTTGCAATGAGAAAGTGAAAAGCCGAAGCTGAGAAGGTCACACGAAGCATTTCTCAGCCCTGAGAGTGAAAGAAGAGCAGATTTCCCCTACTAAGCAGACGGCCCCGTGTGGTCAGGAGGTGAGAGCAGTGCCTTGGTGTGCCGGTGTGGTTGGCACAGAGCGAGCAGCCGTGGGCATTGTGCCCGGCCACGTCCTGCCAGGCTGAGCCCTGCCTGGTGCAGGATGAGGGACAGGGGGTTCTTTGCTGGGATGCTCCAAATCCCTAGCCCCTTAGGAGGAATTGTGGTGTGGTTCTGTGCCTTGCAGAGGATGCACAACAGGGAGAGGAGAGCAGCGGTGCATTTGGTGAAAGCAAGGACAGAGGAGGTGTGGGGAGCAGGTAAGGATAGCATCATAGGATCCCAGAATGGTTTGGGTAGGAAGGGACCTCACAGATCACCCAGTTCCAGCCCCATGCCATGGGCAGGGATGGCACCCACTAGATCAGGCTGTCCAGAGCCTCATCTAACCTGGTCTTGAACACCTCCAGGGATGGGGCATCCACAGCCTCTCTGGGCAACCTGTTCTAAACCTCCCCACCCTCTGAGTGAAGAATTTCCTCCTAACACCTAATCTAAATCTCCCCTTTTTTAGTTTAAAACCATGCCCTCTTCTCCTGTCATTATCTGATTGAGCAAAGAGTTGCTCTCCATCTTTTTTATAAGTCCCTTTCAAGTACTGAAATGCTGCAATGAGGTCCCCCTGAAGCCTTCTCTTCTCCAGGCTGAGCACCCCCAGCTCCCTCAGCCTGGCTCCACAACAGAGGGGCTCCAGCCCTCTGAGCATCCTCGTGGCTTGCTTTGGACCACGACAGATCCACATCCTTAGAAGATCCCCATTTCCTGAATGTGGAAGACAAACCAGCAGACTCATACCAACCCCACAGCACAGCAGGCATGCTGAGCATCGTTCTCCACCATTCCCTGGTGTTTCTGCCTCTCTTTGGGGCAGGAAGGGTCCCTGTAGCAATGCCCACACCACCAAACCTGTGAGCAAGCAACGCCTCCCATCAGGAAACCCCAAAGAGACATATCCTCTCTGCAACCCTCTGTGGCCAAAAACACCCCCTGCCTCTTCTAGGGAGGACCTGGGTGAAAAGAGGGGCTGGTTGGAGGCCCTTCAGTCCAAGTGGAGGTGTCTAGTGCTGGGTCAACCAGCACAGCCATGGGTAAGGGATGCAGTTTCCCAGGGAGGTGATGGAGTCACCATCCCTGGGGGTGCTCAAGGAAAGGCTGGACGTGGTGCTTGGGGACATGGTTTGGTGGGTGACAGTGGTGTTAGGGGGGTGGTTGGACCAGATGATCTTGGAGGGCTTTTCCAACCTTAATGATTCTAGGACTTTATGATTCTTCTTGACCTTGTTCAGCCTGGTCAGCAGGAGATGAGGGTAGGAACAAGATTCAGGTGTCTTAGCAAAGAGGGGATAACAGAAAAAGCCTTCCTGTAGCTTGCTCCTGCAGCTGCCTGTGAAGCAAACCTTTTACATTTCATCGCTGGGACTGAAGCACGCTCACGCTTCAGTTCAGAGCTGCTGCTGCAAGTCGGGGTCCCAGCAGCAAAATAAAACAGCAGAGCTGAGCGTGTGAAGGCAGGACGTGCAGTTCTACTGCTAAAAGGGGCCCCAAAGCTTCATGTGAAATGAAATGAAACGAAATGAAATAAAATAAATAAAAGAAAACAAAATAAATCAAAACAAAATAAAATAGAGAACAATCAAACAAACAAGATAAAATACTGTAGTAGTGGAGTGGCAAACCCAAATGGATCCACGTGGGAACTGAAGGGGACAGCAGTTGAGCCTGGCTGGCCTACACAGAGTGGTTGATATTGTTAGGGATCTCTGAGGATCAACTGCCCAAACCACCCCATTGAGGCATCTTCAGATGATTCATTGCTCCTGGGGTAGGGCTCTGTCTTTAGGCTAAATTCAAGCCCAAAAGTTCCTCATATCAACCCTGCTGGCTGGAGCCAGGGCCATGTGCCATGACCGGAGGCACATCCAATGTGCTCGGAGGGAGCTGGTCTACTTGGCTTTTAGCACCAATTGCTGAGGTTTTTTAACCTTTCCTGAGAGCTCCAGCTCCAGGGAGACACAGAGCCATCTGGGCTGCAGGAGGCATCTGTTGTCATGGCATTATCAGGCATTTGTTCCCGCTGCGTGGCTCTCCAAGACCCGGTAAGGACTGTGCTCCTAAGCACCTATTTGCTCTTCCTAGCCCTCGGTTTAATATCTGCTGTTCAAAATTTGCTTGCTTTGTCCCCAGCTCAACTCCCACCCTTTCCCCCTCCTGCCTGCAGCTGAAGGTTTCCAGGCATTTAGAAAAATTCAAGCGTACACTCCTCAACCTACTCTCTTCCCGTGTAGCTCTTGAAACATCTGCTCCCACAGCCTGCAGAAAGCTGCTTGGGTGGGAGCAAAGGAGGTGAGGACGGGGTGGTTTCAGTTCATCGTTCTTCTGGCCACAGAGTAAATATACATATTTATAGGGTATAAATGCAGAGGGATCTCCAAGACCTAGAGGGCTGTGGTTGTTGGGATCACTGCCCACCAGCCAACGGTGAGTTGGGTGGGATAACCAGTTGTCCTGTGCTATTGTAGGCTGTTCTCTGCCCCTTTGGCATATTTTGGCTGTTTTAAATAAGGGCAGGGCAGGACTCGGGCCATCCCTCATGTCAGATTGGGAGTTGGAGGTGTTCTTCCCCTTTGGTGTCAGCAGAACACGACTCAAATGTGGTATGTCCAACATTTGCGACACCATCTAAGGTGCATGGATTTCAAGAAAAGGGTGGAGAACAGAAAGGAGAACATCCATACAGGAGGATCAAATGAGATGGAGAGAAGGTTGGCTGCCTGAAAGAAAATGCCTTTTTGCAGAAATAAAACCATTAAGGTTGGGATTTGGCTGGAGATAAAGACCCGCTAGGTGCCCATACACACATCTTCAGCTGAGCCAAGTGTCTGAGTTCCCACCATGGACAAGGAGGACCTGGTCCATGGATCCAAGGTCCCAAGGATCTGTCCTTGTCCCCTTGGGGCGCTCAGCATGGGGACCAGGAGGTTCAGAGGGCTTGGTTTGGCTGGTGGCTTTGGTCTGCCGGCCTTGTGCAACGCAACCTTTGCGATGATGTGCCCCTCAATATGGGAGGCCACAGAACTGTTTTTCGACCTGCTCGCTCTCAAAGAGCAAAAGGATTCAGTCACCTCTTTCTGAAAAAAAAAAAAAAAAAAAAAAAAAAAAAAGCAGCTGCACTTGTTTTTGCTGCAGGAAGTTCTCGCTAACGGGGAGAAGAGAAATCTCCTGTTAAAAACAAGGCCTTCACCAGCACTTCTTGTTCTTCACTTTAGCTGGAGCCATCTCAGTAGCTCATCCATCCTCTTCTCTGCCTCTAAAATGGCCTGCCGCCGCTCCAGCAGACAATAAAACCCTCCATTTGTAGGGACCTCCATTTCTCAGAAAAAGCATGACTTTTTTTCCTCTCCTCTGTCCTCCTGGGTGAGTCACTTGGCCTACATGTCTCTCTCTCCCCACCCAAATCACTAACACTGGCAATAATTTTTAGCTGCTGATCTAGCGACAGCTAATATTTCATCTCCCGTTTCCAAAATACCATCGAATAACAGACAAACCAACTTATTTCCTCGCCCTAATGATGCCCGCTACCTTGCCCTCTTTGCTGGTGATCTTCCTCCCCCTCCGTGCTCTTCGCTTTGCTCCTCTCCCAACTCTCTCCTCTTGCAAGAGCCACCAGAAACGATTGATTTGGGTGTCTCTGATACCAACTCACCACCTCGGGCTCTCTTCCAACTCTTCCCAGCTGTGGATGAGGACCTTCAGCCCAACAAACACCCGCCGAGCCCCAACCACAGCTCTGCTTCATCCCCTGCAGGTAACGAGGAGCTCAGCAAGCACCGTTAGCGTGGCTCTGACATTAACCAGAAAGAGAATGACCTGGAGGTACAAAACCCCAAACCACAATCATCTATTTAACAGCACAACAAAATTTATTTTTTTATCAGTACAATGCTTAACCCAACAGTACTGGTGTGGCGCACGGGAAGGAATTTGCCTGTGGTTCCCCGCGTGGATGCCCTTGGATGGATCTTGCCCCTGGGTGCCAAAACCAGAGGAAGAAAGCTGCTTCGTTATCTGAGATGTCATTTCTGATCAGCTGCCATCTCGTGTCTTCTGCTGCCATCCCACCTGCCCCAGAACCCCAGGGCACTGTTTTATTTCCAGAGAAGAGCATCTCCAGGCCCAAGAGAAGTGGCTCCAGGGCTTGGTGTCCTCCGTGGAGGAGGAGCTGTGAGCTGGGTGCATTGACCAGCAGCACCACAAACACCATCTCACCAAGGGTAATTGGGGTCCCTGGCTCCTTCCCACCACCCCAACTCCTCCCCTGATCCAGCCCCATGTCCTTACACACCCAGTGACACTGCTCACCCATCCCAAGAGGGCCATGGAGGGTTGGCCAAGCTCTGGTGAAGGCTTGTCCTTGAGAACATCGGGCATCTCCTCTGCAGAGCTGGCAGTGCCTGAAGACCCCAGTCAACCCCATTGACCATGGGTCCTTGAACCTTCAACTTTCAAGGGTCCTCGAACCCCTCTTCAGCCCCCAAAGCTAATGCCAGCTCAGCACCAGGGATGGGATATGAGGACCCAGATGTGCCCCTGAGGTGCAGCAGGTGGATGAGGCTTTGGGACAACCCGGTCTGCTGGGAGGTGTCCTTGTCCATGGCAAGTGGTTGGAACTGGGTGGGCTTTGAGGTGCTCCCAACCTGAAGCGTTCAGTGACCCCATGAAGGTGTCCTCTCCTTCTCCACCACAGGAGCTCTGGGCAGGTGCTTCTGCTCGCTGGCTCCATCGCTGGAGCAGCAGTGCCGCAGCAGCTCCGTGCACATGGTTCTGCTTCCCTCTAGTGACAAGGTGGCCTCACATCAGCAGAGTTCGTGGCTCATCTTCTCCATCTCCATCCGAGGGAAGCCCTACGGTCTGTGGATCAAACCCTTGGGGTTGGGGCCCTCTCTGAGTGCACCAAGGGATTGGGTGGAAGCATCTCCTTCCCCACGTGGATGTGCAGAGCTCAGCATCTGGGCAGAGTTGGGTTTTGGGTTCCCATCAATGGGATTTGGTTCTCTGCCTATGCCCTCTGTTCACTCAGTGTTGGGACACCCATGTCCCTTGGAGAGGTCAAACTGGGAAACACTGGTTTGGAGAGGAGCCGAGCAGGGGACAACTGGTGGGACCCCCCTCACACATGGCATCTCCACCCCAAGAGTCCCTGGGCCATTTATGCTCACAGTCCTCACAGCTGCATCGTGGAGGTGGGAGGAGGCTTTCCCCAATTCCCTCTAATTTTGGTAAAACACCCAAAATTCATTTCCAAATCATGGGTCATTGCTTTTTTTGGGGTTCTTAGGTAGGACTTCTCCTAGGGTGGCTGACAGCAGTGAGGTCCTACTAGCAAACACCTCCCTACCAAGTTTTCTGCAAGATGCAATCCCTCAAATTCCTCTCTATAAATTTTTCACCCCAAAAGCTATTGCGTACAAAACATTTTCCTAAAGAAACCCCTCTTTCTCTCCACGCTTTTTCTAGGCTCTCCCCATCACTTCTGTGTTCGTTCAAAAGGAGCTGCTCCTTAAAATCAAGCTGCTCCTCAAGCTTTGAATGCAATTTCTCTCCAATTTCTGCCTCTCTCCAAGGTTATTGAGCAAAATCCCAGCCGTGGGCCAAATTCCACTGGAAGGAGCATCTCTGCCCCTCCTGCATCCTCACCACCGTGCCTGTAGGGCCGTGCCCTGGTGGGGATTTATCTGACACTCGGATCTTCTCCCTGCCTTTTGCTCAGCTGGCGTATTTATCCAGCAGGAGTCAACTTCCCTCGGCCACGTAATTGATTGTTTCTGTCTCTGCTGTTTTCTGCCTCACCCCCGCCTTGTTTCGGGAAGAGGGGCTTTTCGGGGGGGGGGGGTGATTCATTGCTCTGTGGGTTTTCCTGCTCGTTCAGCCCATTGGGTGCTCCGTCCTCTGCCCTCGGTCGTTGCTTTCCCCCCGATTTACCCGTCCCTCGGAGCAAATTGATTCACCGTCGAGGTTTATTTTTGGCTTCCAGCTGTCGGGCTCCTCGCAGCTGCGTGTTTCTCCTCGACCCCAGTGCCGTCTCTCTCCTCCTCCTGATTCTCCTCCTGGCCACACTCCTCCTCCATCCTCCCCCCCTACCTTCTCCGTGCAACGCTGCCTGTTTTTCATGACCCATCTGCACCTATTTACACACCAGTAGCCCTCTCTGTTTTTATTCTCCCCCTGGTGTTCGTCTTGGGTTTGAGAGGGATAAAATCAGGGATGAAATCCAGACATGTCACGGCAGGCACAAGGTCTCCTGGGTCCCTGGGCCATCCTGCTCGGGAATGGACCCCAGTACATCCAGAGGAGCCTGCGAGGGGGTGAAATCAGTGATGGGTTTGGCCCATGGGTGCTCTCCGGGACACCCACCACAAAGCTCCAAAGCCAGGACTGGTGTCCCCAGAGGGACCTAGACACGGGACTCGGTGTTGGTGGTGAGAGATCGACTCTCCTGGCTTGGTTAACACTCTGAGCTTGGGTTTACCCCTCCCAGGGGTGCTTCTCCAGCCCTGCCTCACTCCTGGGGCTCTTCTTTGAAATCCTTCTGATTTTCCAGCCGATATTTGCTGTGCCCTAGACCTGGCTGCACGCACCGGGCATCCACATCACACATAGCAGGAACTTTTTTTTCACCATTTCACCCCGTAAACGTGCTCTGATGCAATTTTGGTTCCTTCTGGGAGCACAGAGCTGCCCCCATGGGGGTATTGCCAGAAACTTAGCACTGTTTTCAGAGATTTGTGCTGTGCTGGCTTTGATATGGGTCACGGTGATGTCCGCAGCCTTTTCACTGGGGCATCACTCCGGGCACAGCAAAACACCTTTTGGAGACCTGACTAGGTTATAAAATTCGCCCTCGGGATCCCATAAAAACAAGCTCCAGCACCGTATCTCGGCGTGGTTTGCTTTCCACCAGCCTTTTACATCCCTCTGCCTGAATTAGCCCTGCTGGCAATGCGCACGGCCGGCTTTTCTCCACTAGGCTGCAGCATTAACTTGGCTTTTCCCCTCGGTGCCAAACCAAGAGGCAGCTCGGCGTTGGCCCCTTCCCCCCTGGCCCACAAAAATCCTCCGAAGACCTGATGGGGTGGGATGAAGGCCCACCACCCACCTCCCCATCACCTCTCCTTCCCTGGTAGTGGTGGTGACAGCCGTCAAGTTGTTTTTTCCCCCTAATTTACAGCTGTCTGCTCAGTTTTCATCATGCTCCGCATATCTCACAGCTTTTAATTCTGCACCAAACTTTGGCAAAAAGAAAGCTCCTGGTGGTACCTGGGGTTTGTGAGAGGCGTGAGGCCACCTCCAGGACACAGCTCATTGGGGTCTGGTGCTGCACGGCCACGAAGCACCAGGGGTTTGAGGGCTGGAGGATGGCTGGTACCCCATAAAACTGCACATGGACAAACTGGGCTCGTGGTAAATTCCCTGCATGCTCACAAACGCAGCCAAACGAATCCTCAAGCACAAGGTCTCGAGCCCAGCGGGTATATCCAGACGTGGGGTGCAGCTCCCCAGCTGCCTCTGCTGCGGAGCCCCGAGTGCCAAATCCACCGCGGAGACCAAAAGCAGCATTTTGGGGCCGAGATGCCATTTTTTTGGGTTTGCCCTCACCCTGCGACGGGGTCCTTGCACGTTGCAGAGGGCAGGGGAGGTGAAGAGATCTCCTGGTCCCTGCTATTTCCTGCAGGACCTGCAGCGACCTCCCCTGACTCCTTGTTTACCTCGGGGAGGACGGGAGCGTGGCTCGGCTCGAGCTCTGCAGCCAGCGATCAAAACACTCGAAAGCTAAGAGCAGCATCAGGATTTGAGGATCGCAATGAGAGCGCCCGACAGGCACAGGTTGGAAGAGGGCGATAAACGAAGCAGGGGGCTGGGAGGAAACCGAACGGCACAAGAGGAATCCGCGCCTTGAGTCCTCAACATCCTGCACCGACCGCCTCGAACCCAGCAGCCCAAATTATGAGATTTTGGGACCTTCATTTCTCTGCGCTCCGCTTCCTTGGGAAGCAGAAATAACAGCAGAGCCTCCGACGAGGCCGTCATTGCAGCAATTGCTCCGTGGGCAGCCCCAAGGTGGGCATCTCCTCCTGTTCCAATGATTTCCAGCCTCATTGCTCGCAACATTCAACAGGATTTAGGCACGGGACTGCTCTCCTAGCCCCAGAGCGTGCCAAATGATAGCCAGGCTTGCTGGTCCACCAGGAGGGATGCTGCAAGGCAGCCAGGAGCACGATGCCCTATTTGTGGAGCCTCGCTCCTTTAAGCACACGTGGGAGGGGAGGACTGGTAAATCCTTGGGCAGTTTTTCATCTTGGCTCGACCGGGCTGGGCTTCGGGCTCAGTCTGTTGTCTGGTCCCCTGTCATAGCTGCTGTTATAATGATTCATCCATCTGGTTTTCTGGGAAAAGAGAGCGAGCTAGGGAAATGCTTTTTTTTCTTTTTTTTTTTTTTTTTTTTTTTTTTTTTTTGGCAGCATCTCTCCTGCAATGATTACGATTTTGCACCCGCTGGCGGTGGGGAAGGAGCTTTGCGCGTTGTTTTTTTTGCTTTGCTGGAGCAGACGGAGCAGTGCTGAGGAGCCCGTTCCCCTCAGCCAGACCTGAAGGCAATGTCCTCGGCTGCGCCTGCTGAGAGCCAAAGGGCTCCCGACCCCCCCCCCCCCGACTCCCCAGGTTTGGTTTACTGTAAATTAGGTATCAGTATGGGGAAAAAAAAAAATCCTAAAAGACTTCATGCTGGCTGGTATTTAATTTTGGGACAGAACTAAAGCCACGGTGCTGTCCCTTGTTGGGTTGTACGGCATGGACACCACTCTGGTGGAGATGGTGAGTGTGTCCAGCTGGCACCAACATCATTTTTGGGTATGGCACCAGCACAGTTTTTGGGAAGTGGCAATGCAACCTCTCTGCCAGAAGCCCATCATCACGCTGCCTTAAGCACGCCAGCTCCCGGGGGGCTTTTCTACCTCCCCGTGCTCCCAGTCACGGGTCAGACTGGGAGGGCAGCAGCTTGGGTGGCAGCAACCCCCCCAGATCAGACACGTTATTAAATCCCCAGCAATCGGGTCACGTATCCAACTTCTATTTTCCTTCCGCGCTAAAGCCAACCTTCCTGTGACAAATTCTTCCCTTGTTCCCTGCTCCGTATCCGTTACCAGCACCGTGCACTCCTCCAAAAACCAGATCCTCCTTGAGCCCACCAGCACAGGAACTGCCCTCCTCGCTGGTCCAGTGCCCTTCCTCTTTTTTTTGTATTTTTTTTTATTTAGACTTGACACCTTCTTCGTCCCGGCAGCCTTTACCGGCGTGATTTCATCCCGAGTGGGTGGAGAGCTCGCTCTCCCCCGCTCGCAGCCTCTTCCCGACGGCTCCTGGGATCCCCGCCAGCTCCTCTCCACCCACGGCCTCTCGCGTCGAGGCGAACCACGCGGCTCCTGCTGCTCCCCGTGCCAGAGGAGGCATCGCACAGCTGGGAGGATGCCTCGGGGAGACAGAGAGGAGCTGAGGATGCCCTCACAGCAGGCATGGGTCCCTCCGTCTGCGCCCTTGGCCAGGAAAAGGGAAAAGGAGGAGCCCTCTGAGCACCAGAAGCACTTCTGGGCTGGGTGGGTGCTGGAGTTCTGGCACGGGTACCCAGAGGTTGTGGTGTCCCCTCCTTGGAGAGCTCCAAAAGCCACCTGGATGTGGCCTGGGCAGCAGCTCCGGGTGGCCCTGCTGGAGCAGGGTGGGAGCAGAGGGACTCCAAAGGTCCCTTCCCACTACAACCAGTCTGGGGTTCTGGGAACTCATCTTAGGAACAGCTTGGCAGGTCCCATACCACATGGAACCTGGTCATTTTTTAAAATTTCTCTCATGTTGAAAGAGCTGTGCTTGGATTTAAGCCTTCCCTACGCCATGTGAAATAGGATCGTGTCAGCTGCTGCTACCAGAAAATGGATCTGAGCAGCAACACATGCTCAGAGCACACTGAGAAGAGGATTTGATTCAGATTTTGAAATCCTTGCTAAACTCAGGAGTATTAAAATAGACATTAGGGCACGACACAGGACAGGCTCCAAACCCCTCAGGTTGCCCACCCCGCTCCTTACGACCGATGCGCTGGCTTCGCTCACAATGCAGCACACACGCACCTCGCTCTTCAACTCTTCTTCAAGTCCTTTTTGCAGATCTGCTTCCTCAGAACCGTTTACATTTGGGAAATTAAAAGATAAGCGACAGCTCCACGACGAACAAAAACATCACAGAAATTCCAGGGTTGCCAGAAAACATCTCGGTATGGTGACAAACACGGTTGTGCTGCGGTGCTGCCGAGCGGCCGTGGGAAGGCTGCGTTAGCAATTATTCATGAGCGTCTCAGGCTTTCCAAGCAAATCTTAAATATATATATATTTTTTCTTTTACACCATCGTTTTGCTCTGAAGTTCTCCAAGTTCTGAAATCTGCAAATTTCCTTGCAGTGAAACAAGGAAATTTCTCTTCCCTGAAGCGAACGCTTCAGCTCTGGCTTCGGTTCTCACCTTGGAAATGCAGCAGAGCCTTCACACAGCAGCCTATTTGAAAACCCAGCAGCCTGAGATCATCTTCGTGGATTTCCTGAGAAATTTTCGCCTCCCAGATGTGCTCTGGGCAGGCTCTGATCTGCCTGGAGCCTGCTCCTTTGGGCAGGCAATCCCCTCCGCCCAAGGTATTTCTGGTAATGACAAACCATTTGGGAGACCCCCATTCCTCTAGGTTTCTTCCACAGTAAGGACGGGCAGATTAAATAATGGCAAAATCGAGTACGGAAAAGGGCTCTGGAGTCCCTTGGAGGTGATGAGCTTAGTCACTGCATCTACCAGGCTGCTGCAGAGCTGCCCCAGGAGCACAGCCAGCAGGCAGCACTGACTGGCACCTGGATGGGGACATGCAGAACCTGAATATTAAAATTGCTTTGCCCATTTGGGCCTGAGCAAATCTGGCCTCTGCAACAACCGAGCATGCAATGTGAGACCTGAATGCTGACCTTCAATACAAATCCTTGTAATTCCATGGCTTGCCTCTCCTTTTTGTGCAGGGCGACCATTAAAAACTCTCCTGCTGTCCATAAGAATGCTCAGTGGCCGAGAAAGGAGCACAAAGCTGAGTTTTATGCCTGAAAACTCAAATCTCTGAACCTTTTCAATGGGAGATGCATCTTCAGCATCTGATGGGCACCACTGGAGAGCAGGAGCCATCACCTCCATGAACTGTGTCCAGCAGCAGGACAAGTCTCTGCAGAACCATCCTGAAGGACGTGAAAAGAGCTCTCACCTATGCAGGAGTCACATCAGAAGCCAAAGGCTGCTTCGCTGTCCTCTCCGGACACAACTCAATGAATTTTGTTTTTATTAGCATTACCCAGACGTGAATTTGCTCTCCTGGCATACTCTATGAGTTGGGAGCTCTAATCCTGTGTTTTACAGCACCAGAAAGCTCTCAGCCTAAGCCTGGTTCCGTATGTAGCAAACATCCCAGCTGGACACAGCCTGCAGCAAAACCCATGCTACCCGCATCTATTCCACTTGTACCCCTGCAGATCCAACACGACAGATCCCTCATGCAGGTTATTTTTGGCTATCAAGTCTCAAACAGCTTTGGAAGACTTAGGAGCAATATATCAGAATAACACTGTGTTGTCTTATTTTCTATTCCACCCTTTTACAAACATTTTATGCCTGCATGTTTCATTAATGTAAGGACGAGGCTGCTACAAACTGTGGTCCTGAGCCATAATTTATCTGCCATGAACACAAAACACTTCTCCAGCATCATCCCAAGCTCTTATTTAATGGAATCAAGACATTTCCCCCCTAAAAAACACGATGGACTTTGCAGAGCTCCCCTATGCAAAATCCAGGTGTCTGAAGGTAACGATGGAGGATCACCGAAGTCTGAGATAAATGAATCTGACATTAAATTTATGATCGTGTAGTAACGTGTTTTAATGCCCCCATAATACAACAACAGTACATCAAAAGGCATTCCTAAAATATTTTGTGTTAAAATACTCCCACTAGCCATCTTCCTCCATCCTCAAGCATCCTTTATGCTAATCCCTGATTGCTGGGGCAACAGCAGTGGCTGACTCCCAGAGCTGTCTGGGCTTAGTACGAGTTCTCACTTCATTTTAACGCCGCTCCAAAAGACCAGTCAGCGATTGGAGACACTTTGCAGACCACAAAGCAACCTCCCTGCACTTTACACCTGCTACAGGGTGTCAGGCAGCAGGATGAGCAGACCCACCAGCAGCTGAAGTTATACGCCGTGGTACCCGAGGAGCACTTTGGATGCAATTTGCATAAGCGCTGCTTTGCATCTCAATCTGGCTGCCTGACAAGACGACTGTCTTCTGGTAGCTTCACTTCTAAAAAGACCGAGTACTGAGAGTAAATAGGATCAAAAAAAAAAAAAAAGAAAAAAAGAAAGAAACCCATTATACAATTCTCCTCCCTTCCTCATGCATGTATTTTACAGTGGATTTTGTTTTCATGCAGCAGTTTTCTCCTTCCTTCCCACCTTTTTTCATTCTTTCTTTCCCCTGCTGCTGCAGGAGGGATCTGAGAAGCCACAGGGCACGGGCACACCAGCAATGGTACTCACGTCAGAAAAGCCTTTACGAGATCCAAGTACTTAGCAGCTCTGGTTTTTCTCACTATATGGTGCAAACAGAGAAAATTACTAGTTTAAAAACCTCTCACCTTTCAATAGAAATAATTAAACTTCAATAATCTCCTTTGGGTGCTTTTTGTGGGATCGCTTGTTATTAATTTGTAATTGATTTGTGCCATGAGATTAGTTTTTGTGCTGAAGTTTCCTTAAAGTATAAAAACCTCTCGATATTCAGACCTTACCTTGGGAAGCCGCTGAACTCCAAATAGGCTGAAGGACTTTGCACAAGCAACCACTCAAAAAAAAGGTCTGGGTGGGAGCTACTTCAGCAGCAAAGAGACTTCAAACACACGGATTACTGGTAAGGAACACTTCAGGAGAGCAATGCTTCGTTCTGTACAGCTTGTAACCTCTCTAAGAACATCTGTCAAACTCCCCCAAACACGTCCGTGGGCAGGTGTCAGCTCTTGGCATCACAGTGCCACAAACACACTACTCCATATTCCAAGTTTTCAGCGTTTTCACCCCTTTATGGTAACTCAAGGACTAACAGAACACAGTCCTACCCACTTCTGAGGGTTTAAACAAAAACCACGCGGGTGGATTTCACAGAAGGATGCAAGTGAGAGACGTAGAGGCCGTGCACTTTTCACACTCGAGTCTCTTTCGGATCGTGATGACTTGATCCCTCCTTAGTTAAACAAGCAGAAATAAAAGGGAGGATATGCTGAGGATAAAAGGGAGGATAAAAAAACAGTGAAAAAACAGAGGATGTGCTGCTGATGAAATGGAGGATATGCTGATGGAAAGACAGAGCAGGGGAAAGAGAAGGGTGAATCTGCTGCCCCCAGCCAGCTCAGGAATGTCTCTGAATACCCAAAAGCTGCTGCAGTTGTCTGCTGTCTGTAGCAATTTTGTAGTTTTCTCCATACCAGAGAGCAGGGAAAGGCAGCAGATTCCTGCTCTTACCAGTTCATTTAGGAAAGGCTCCCCTGCTAGAGGCATGTATTGCTGTCTGTGTCACTACCTCCCCAAAAGCTAGATGCAGGATGATAATCTGGCTGAGGAATGCGTTTCAGAAATTATCTTCACGGCTAATGAGATCCTGCTGCAACCGGGGACACGACCCAGACTTGGACTCCGCATCTCTGGCCAGTTGTGTTTCCCTGAAGAGTGCAGTTCTCGGGAAAACTTCTTAGGTACTACAGCGTCCTTGGGAAGATGACTCAGTTTTGTGGCTTATGCTGTTAACAGTGTAAGAGAAGAGAAGGCAAAAAGCTCTTAGGTTAGCAATGAAATCCTTCCCAAGATCTGTCTTTCAGCATGTCCGGAGTACAGTAATTGGAGATTGGAAGGGTTCCTGCTGCTTTTTTGTATTGTCATACCTCCTGGCTAGATCATTAAACCAAGTGTTTTCTTTTTTTTTTTTTCTCTCTTTTTTTTTTCTCTTTTTTTTTTTTTCTTGATCTTGAGTCCATACTGGTAATTTCCATTGGGAAAACAATCTGCCTTTATCTTCCCTCTTGCCAAAGCATCTTTGCACTGATGACCTACACCAAAACCTCACGATGCTTATTTTACATCTTCTGTCTACAGCTGTGAACTGCATTTTCTCCTAGCAAGAATCTCCAGCTATATAAAGGCACCAAACAACACTACAGCTTAAATATGTAATACTTCTGCATTCAGTAACTCTGTTCACCGAAATACCACTTCCCTTTTTTTTTTCAGTCCTAGGTAATAACATTGAAGATTCTCTTTGGAGACTCTCGTATAAAATTCACAAGGAGCAATTCCCCAATCACTATAACCGATTTCAAATGGTGCTAGAAAATATTATTGACTCTGAACACCAAAAGAAATCAGTCATCCTCCAAAGGGGTTACCAAGATCTGCAAGGATGAAGAGTTAAGTACCGGATAGTATTTTACACTGGAGGTTTCCCAAATGCTTGATGAATATTAATTAATTACCTCTGTGGTATTATTCAATAAAAAAATGTTGTATTGTTATAATATATAGAAGGTGGAAACTTTCAAAATCATTAGTTACGTGCTTGTTTAAAATTGTACAGCCAGTATTAAAACACCACAAATACTTCGATTTTGGGTAGCCTCAGCCTGCGTGGTCCCATTGTCACAGACACTGGTGTTAGATGTGATTTAAGTGTGGGTGCATTACCATCAGTGCCTTGATGCTGTGTTGCAATTCCATATTACATTTTTTTTGCAGTGTTTATGTCTCGTAAGCCCTTCTCTGTCTCCGAGTTCTGGTTCACCACCTACAAGTGCTGTAAACATGTTACTGCCCAGCAGTATTACACCAGAATTTCTGCCCCTTGTGATGCTCTCCCACGGCCATAAACTCAAAGGTCCCAGCCTCCTGAGGTCACTTGGTTGGTGGTGGAGCTAAGTCTAATGGCAGAAGCACATTTTGACCTTTTCTTTTCCACCAACGTTTCCAAGGAGCTGTTTCACTGACGAACGCAGGCATTCTTCCTCCAAGAACACTGATTTCAAATGGTGCTAGACAATAAATAGTTAAATCTAAACCACCATATGAAACCAGCTTCCTGAGGGAGCTTGCTTCTAGCTGAGATGATGTTCCTGTAACAACAAATCGGAAATGCCACAGAGGAGCACCTATCCAGGTTGGTTTTTTCCATCTTTGTTTTTCCTATTAAATAATTGATGTTGTTTTCTTACTCTTACCCTTGGCTCTGCCTTGAGTCACTGGATGCTCATTTGTTTTCTATTACAGCGCTACCAACAGAGAGAATTGCTTCCAGCTCTGTCACCCTGAAGAATTTGGTTAGTCGAGCTCGGACATTGCGTACAAGGGTTTAAGCAGGGAGGCAGGACCTTTGTCCTACTTTCATTCCTGCCGTCTCCTATTCACGCACGGCGTCTGCTGAGCTCTGCCCACAGCACCGAGATCACCAAGGAAGTCGGTAAGAGAAGCACTGCTGCAAACTCCCTCTAGTGACAGCAAAACGATGTGTGAAACGTCTCCTAGATGGTAAAGCACGCTATTTTTAACAGCAGCAGCAGTAATGGAGTGTGACAGAAGTTATGTATTAATCCCTGCACATTGAAAATTTGTTCCAAAGGATGGCCTGAAAAGCAGCCCACCTGTCTGCCAGCTCCCACCGAGGTGGTGTTCGCAACATGGAGAGAAGGCGAGTGCCCAAACCCAGCGCAAGGACCGTGTTAATTACGGACTACGCAGCACTGGCACTTACCACCTGGTTGCAGCACTGCTTCTAGGAAGTCTGACACAAGGCACTTTCCTGGAACTCTTACCACTTGAGTGTGTTCTCCACAATTTCTTTTCAAACAGATGTATTTTTTGTAACCTGTCTTCGGCGTCTCAGCTCAGCTGGCAGAACAAACACACCCGAACGGCATCTGCAGGATCGTGTCAACACTGAGTGCTCGCACTCCGCAGGTCCATCGCAGAGGAACAGAGTGCCCAGAGCAGCAGCACGGCGTCTCCTGATGTCAGGAAACCCCATGTGGCTGTGAATAACACTGGTCTCGTGGTGCAAGAGAAGATGCTGCTCTAACAGGGTTTAAACACAGCCGTTTTACAACGTGGACAGGATAGAACCGCTTCCAAGGCACAAAAAGCCTCAAGCTTTGCCCTGCTGTAGCGTAATTCAAGGAGTGAAGCATTGTACTTGTTGTTTCCTTCTGCAGTGTCCTACCTGCACGCACTCTGCCTGCTGCTGGCAGCTCTGTTCAAGCTGATTACAACCTTCACCCAAGACAAACCCATCTGCGGTCTCCCGAGGACAGCCACGTAGTCTCAAAATCCTTCTTTTCGGGGGCAGGAAATCATGTCAAGAAACGAAATTACATCTGTTCCTACGGGTTAATCGCCTCCAGAAGTCTGTATCTCTCTTCCTTTACGACAGTGACAACCTGAACAACTATCTGAGCCTCGAAACTGAATTCGTAGATGGCTGGAGATAGAGGAGAGAAATCTCCAATGAGCGTGGACAGTTCCCCTGAGGGTATCTGTCAGCAGCGCAGCCAACACATTCCCCTCCCCTAAAATCTTCAGGAGAAAGTCCAACAAACCTGACATCCATCTGTGAGACAAGGAAAGCAATAAAGCTTCACAACCATTATCTTCCCTGGACAAAGGCAAGGCTAAATCGTGTTACAGGATGTGTGTCTGCATCATTCCATCCGTGATGTGCATGGGACTTGACACAGAGGTTCAGTTTTTGGGGCTTTGTCTTTAGTGCCACCCCCAGAACGGGTGCAGACCACAGCAGCTCAGTATGACTAACCAGAGAGCAAACTCACCCGTGTAATGCATTTGTAGTTTTGAAGAAAGCATCTTTCAAAACTTGTAATGACGCTGTGCATTTCCAGAGCACAGATAATGAGAAACACTCTCGCATTAGGGCTGCAAACTGTCACTTCTAAATGGGTGAAACAGATGAACTGCAGATAGAGAACTGATGCACTGCTCCGAGAGTCCTCCTCCTAATTATGTCCTTTAACTTCTGGGCCCTGGAAGTTTCAGAACATCTTCAGATCTTGGGCTTTTCTGTCCTTCCTAGATTTTTTAAGAGTAATTTCCTTGTTCAACTGGAGAGGAAGAAGAGGAGCAGAGAAGGCAACACCTTCACCCTTACGTACCTACTCAATAGAAGAGCAAAACCTGGGGAAATATAAAGAGCAAACCCAGAATCCATAGATAAAATAGTTGGAAAAGTGTCCTATTACATTGCTTTTGTAGTTACAAACACTGCTCTGTAACCTTTCAGAAGAAATTATACAGGAATGAAATGCCAGGGGTTTAAGCCCTGATCCTAAATAGTTCAGCATTCGCAGGGTTTTACCTGCCATCAGTGGGATTACTTACAGCAACTAACTTTTGTCTGAGATTAAACCTCTGCAAGACTGGAGTTTGCACTGCTTTTTATTTTGCCATTGATTTGGGTGATAATCACCCGAATTCTGGTGATTTACACGTGGTTTAGCTGCAGTCCAAGGCCTATCAGGTAACCCTCTCCCTCCTAGTGATTAAATCCAGTAGTTATGCACTCAGACTAGTATGTGAACCGTGACCCCTTTCTGAATGAAAGTGACAATTGCGTGTGTTTTGTCACATGAATCCAGGGATAATCAGGGAAAACATCTACTGGGAGTGACCAGCAAAGACTTCCAACTGGATTAAAAAGCTCCTGGACAGGAAATTCCTCAAAAATTAGTCCTATTGCTTCCTCGCCATGCTCTGCCATAACAGGAGCCGTGCAAATGGATTTTGTTAAGAGCTTTGCTTATGACAGCTTTATGATCCATCCATGACAGGCTGAAAGACCGAGCCAGCCTGTAATTTGCAGACAATAGCCTGCGAGTACGTTATGTCTGACAAACTGTTCAACTTACTGTAACTTTTCAAATTCCTTTTTTTTTTTTTTCAATAAAATGTGAAGCCAAGGGAAGATGACAGATTGACAACTCTGCAGAAAGGCTCTGTTCGACGAACGGCTATAGCATGGGAAAGGAGTGTGTGAACTTCCTACTTAACGCCCGGCCACATAGCTCATTTACGAGCTGCTGCAGATACCCTATGGCATGAAGGCCGAGCAACCATTGAGGAATTGTCCTCCAGCTGAAAAAACAATTAATACTAACTGCAGCGAGGAAGAACTGCCTACCAAGATAGTAATTGGGACTGCGAAGTCAGTTACAGATGTGTTTAAAGTCTTTTTTTTCCCAGTCATTTTCAACTTGAACTTAAACCACTGCTATTGGGGAAAAGCTGTTTCATCTTTTATATTTCTGCACCATCAATCCCCCAGCGTTTTCACCACCAGACTAATGAATTCCAACTATCAAGAGAGCTCATCCGCTATGTAATTTGTCTTTTTTTGTTCCCTTCACAAAACAAGCAGGAAAAATGTTTTTAATTTGCAAGGCTGAATAAATACCTACTGTGTTTGCCAAGACTTTATTGACATTCATGGCTGTCCGCAAAGCTGATTTACTTCTCAGGGATGGTTTACCTCCTCAAAAAAACAAATTTAAAAAAAAAAAGTGTCCGAACAAGAAGATGCTAATTTAAATAAAATAAAATAAAGAAAAAAAAAATGAAAAGGCAAGACAAATAAATATTACCGTGACTAGTGAAGCCCCTTCAACCAGGATACAGTCCCAGAGCAGATTTTCACTGACAACAAGACCACTTAACATTTGGACACCCTCCAGCGCTTGCTGTGCCTCTGATGCTGCAGTTCCTGCAGGTGCACGTCACCTTTAGCTGTACAGATACAACTGTCGGTGGGCCACGCTGTAAGCAAGATCACTCAAATAATTCTAATTCGAAGAGAAGAAGTGTTTCTTTTCCTTGCTGAGATATTTTCAGGGACCTGGGTTTGCACATGGTCAGGAAAGGGAAGGCACTGCACTGCTGCTGAGCTGGAAATGAATGGCTGGGGGTAGGCAGAAACTTATTAAGCTGGCACTAGCAAGAGACATGAACTGTGGAATTACACCTTGGATAGCATCAAATCCCATCTCCCTTGCTCAGCTGGTCATGAGGAACAGAGATGAGAGTTCAGCCTGCAATGAAACACAGTTCTTGAACTTACAGAGAAAAAAAATCAATACACCAAACTTTAAGTGTCTGAGTTACTGAAGTTTTACTAAGTCTTTATAAAAGGTCCATCCTTCAGCTTTGGCCTGCTGCCTAAATTTTTCCATTCATTTTTTTTTTTTTTTGCTGAGCAATTTAATTATCTTAAAATCAGCTGTGTGAAAGAAACAACTGAAGCCTCCACAGCTGGAATTTAGTATGGCCAGAAGGTCTGCGCTGACTTGACATAAACAGGTGAGAAGAAGCGTTTAGGTCATATGGGGAAGGAAATTAACAACATGACAAACCATTACTGTTAAAATTTCCTACCGTACTGATGACAGTACTTTACATACCTCGCTTTCCTTCCTGTCCTTTGTTTAGCTGTAATGAAAAGGTCTACCAAGTAAGCGAACCAGGGAACATTCCTCTGGAATAAGCCAGCAGCCCTTGAATAAAGACTGGCATTACGCACTAATCAAACATCTGATTTACCTGTTATGTACACACAATATGCTTTTTTTTTTTTTTCATTTCAGAAGCTTCTCAAAGCTTCAAACAGGAAAGATCTGATGGCTAATGCTGCAAGGTATCTCCAAGTACCAAGGAGGGACACAGATGTGCTATAACTCAGAAAAAAAACAGCTTCCCCCATGTACAATTTTCTCCATCTATTTCTGGAACAGCTCACTATTGACAGAAAGGGATGTCCTCAGAATCTGGAAGAAAAAATAAAGTATCAGCAGCTGTTTGAGTTAGTCCCCTCTTTGTGTTGCTCTTCAAATAGGTGAATTAAAAGACAACCTCAAAATCATTCTTCTCTTCCTCCAGACCCTTAGACAGGCTTTTAGCCAAGTTACTGCTTCTCAGTCTGAGCTTAAGTGAGAGCTTTTACAGTCAAATCAATAAAACAGGCAACCAAAGTTTACCACTAACCTTATCACTAAATTACAGATAGCGTGTTTCCTGTCGAAGGAGTCATTTTGGATTACAGATTCAGAAGTTATTGAAAAATAGAAGCTAAGTAAGATGTATCCCACTTGGTCTACTTTGTGGCACTGAATGCATGGCAGTGGCGTGGCCTCGTACTGCAGGTAAATAATTCTCTGCAAAAGAATGAGCTGCAAATAGAAAAGTGCCAGAGGATCACCTACTGTGCAAAGCAATATCCTCCATGTGCAGTTGTCTCAGACTTACTCTGAATTCTGTTTCTTGAAACCTCTTCAGGTTTATTTTTGGGCTGATTAGGGAAACAGAAATCCTAAAAATACAAAAGCAAGCTGATCAAGCTGGGGGAGAAACAGTGAGATGTTCTTGTGACAAAGACTTTAGTATATGAATTATTCATTACTGAAAATTACTGAAAAAGCCACTAATTCTTACAGGGGGAGGGAGATTTCTGTGCACCCAAATTCAAGCACAACAGGCACAAGCTGCACTGAAGGGAATGAGATGCAGGTTTATACAAATATTATCAGCTTCAGTGTGTCACCCTTTTTTTTGCCTATTTTCTTGTAGTATTTGCTAGAATTTGAGACCAAAAAAAAGTAAGATAGCCTGCTATCGCCTTGAATTCAGTCATACCAAATTCAGCAAGAGCTGCTGAAACAGTAAGGAAGGATGAACAGCCCATCTTCAGCCTCACCACTATTTCTGTCCATGTTCCCATCCTGTGCCCATCACCATAGCAGCTGACTGCTCTTCTGGACAAAAGTGGCCGATGTTGTGCTTTAGAAATTGTACAGTGCAACCAACTACACAATAATCAATCTAATTCCTTTTTTTTTTTTTTAAGGTATGCTTAGAACAAAGGTATAATAACAAAGGAACCACTCACAACAAAATTCAGTGCTTCTTGCTCAAGTATTTTCATTATAACCCCCACTTTTTTTTTTTTTTTTTTTAATTTCCACTGCTGTCTTACACATGCAGTAGGATCTAATTGGGAACTGGGAGGAAACCAATGATCAATGGAAAAAAAAACAAAGCCGTTCTTCAGCTTAAAGTATTTCCTCTGACTTAAAGCCTCTGGAATCTGAAGAGCAACGAACATCATTTTTAGAAACCACCCCGGCAAAGGCTCTGTTACATAAGTTTCAATAGAAGTGCTAATCCCAGCGCTCAGCAGAAATGCCCCCGTCATGAAGCCCTCAGAAACTACACCTACTGTTTGTGTTCTTGTGCCGTGCATTGCATCCACTCACGTCTCCACAGTCAGCTCTTCAAACCAGGCATTTGTAACTTTTTTGCCCCTCTGCTTATCTTCAGTGCTTCGTTCACACTGGTACATAAATTATCATGCTAATTTGTCTGTCTGAGGATGAAATGTGACCTGGAAAGAACTGCCCTTAGGTATCATTTAAAAGTAACAATAAACATGCATAAAAATGTTTATTCCTCTGTGTTTTTTCTGGTACAGTACAAACTCCAATTATGATTACTTTGAAAGACTCTGATTACTGAAGAGCAAGTAAAATAGAATTACCACACAGAAGAGAAGACAGCAAATGAAAGGGATAGGAAATTTAATCAGATCCAAGTGTGATTGTTTTTAATCCCAGCTCAATTCCCAGGCCTGATAAACAGACTGCAGAGAATCTTTTAGCAGAAGATTTAAGTATTCTTGACCCCTCCCATCAGGGATGACACTGCAAAAACACGAATGCCAATCCAGAAATATTTTCAGAGCAAAACAAACCACCTTTGAACCCTTCTTCTGTTGTATTTAAGAAGCAAAGAATGAGAAAACGATTTTTAAAAATACCTGCTTCCTACGTACCGTGCTGCAGAGCAACAAACACAATACATGCCAGATATATTTACCCCAGCTACTTCTCAGCAGGGAACACATCCAGTGCAGAGAGCATATTCCATTAATTTACTGGAAACAGGAGTTATTTACCTTGCAGTCGGTACACATTTATAAATAGGCTTTCCCTCCAACATCGTGTTCTTCCTTTGGCATATGGAAAGCATTCTCGGGAGATCAGCACCTGGAATGTATAAAAGGGCTTATTTAAATGCTTGTTTGCATTTTCACTTTAGCTTCTCCTCGTAAAGGCAGAGGGAAGCTGCACGGCTATCGTATGTTTTTACGTTTGCTTCCACGCTGGATCACACGTTTTATTACAGAATAAGCCAGTGTTACAGGAACACAGGCAGCTGACACTTCCCACCACTGCAGGGGAAGGCCATAAATGCAGCTCGTGCAGACTCTCCACGAACAGCCCATTTTGACCAAAAGAATAAACAGAACCAGCCAGTGGTTTGATACACATATGGATATAAATACAGATGTATTAAACTCCCGTTTTCTGTATCTGTTCATCTAATCCAAGCTATGTCACCTAACTGAGCAGTTTGTTTCTTCTGGCTGTGAAATGAGAGGGATGACGGATTTACCTAAAGGTTTTAGGGACAGATGAATGGCCCCTATGTTGCATTGAAGACTGAAGAGCCAGGAGATAAAAGGGATCTTCACCATACAGGGAGCAAGGATGAGGGGTTCCCCATCACCTGGACCTACCGTGTGTGTCTGGTGGCACTGGAAGTGATTACAGCCCCAGGACCATGTGCAGATTTGATCCTCACTCCCAAACCTCTTCTTCCCACTCAGTTCATGCACTGACTGCTGTTACAGGACAAAACTCATCTCCAGGACAAAAACAGGCGCTGTGCTTCAATAATGAACACCGATGCTGGCCTACGCCATGGAAATTACCAAGCTAATTGAAGGACCACAACTTAATGCTCCACATATTCAGCACAGGCAAGTGAGATGGGGAGAAGTCACTGCTGGGTTTTGAAAGTCATTTTGTTTTGCAGAGTGTTTGTTGCTTTCATCTACTGCAGCTACCGAACAAATTCAGTTGTATTAGACAAACACATCCTTAACTATCTGAAAAACACAACAGACATATATTCATGTTGCTGCAGCTCACTTTTTGAACCTAATACTCCCCTCCCTATTCCCATTTCTACCTTTTGAAGCTAAAGACAAGGTGAGCACATGAGAATTTGAGCATTAAAAGAAAGAAGGCTCGAGTTCTATTTCTGGTCTGATTTTCTATGGGACCTGAGAAACTCAGTCTGAGGATGCTATGGAGACACTTAGCCATGGAGATATTTTGCTTCCCTGCAATTTCCAGGGGAGGCACTGTAAAACTGTTGTCCCCGTGATGGACCAAGACACATCGGTGATCTCAGAGCTTCATGTGAAACAGGATCAGAGCAGTTTGGTTTCCAGTTCACTGCCTGACTGAGGAAAGAGTGAAGAGATATCAAGAGAAGAGGAACTATAAGAAATAATGAAACAATAAAACCCCCCGTGTAGGCAAATTAAGAGCCTGGTGGCTGATCTACTCCAGACATCACAGGAACACACAGCCTTAAAATAGAGGCTGAAATAAAAAGGTACTTTTGTGGCATTTGCAGAGGGTTGGCACGGCAGAAAGCTCCTTTCTGCTGAAATGATGCTGAGCTGCAGCTGACGTTAATTCACATCTGGCAAGTCAGGGAAGCATCTCAGGAGAGAAATGAAATGATGCACATCTGGAACTCGATTACACAGCAGCAGCAGGCAGTTATGTGCTGGTGGAGGCAACTTTTGGGAAGTAAGATGCAGAATTCATTTTTGGTGAATGTGTTCAGAATATGATTAGCGGAGATCAAAACTTACGGCCATCCAGCCAGGTCAAAATCTCAGCCTGGACAAGACAACTGTCTGTGCTGAATTTCTGTCCAGTGAGCAGAGGATAAGGATGAAGAACCAGTGCTAATACTTAGCTAAGGAAAAGTGAATAGGCATCTTAAGGTTTCAAACAAATTCAAGATGCAGGAGTCAGCCCGGAAATGGGGTGGGATGGAATCACGGAGGAGAACCCCAAGCTGCAAATGAATTATTTAACTTACAGTTTTAAAAAATACAGCCAATATTAGGCTGAGAAACAATAAAATAACAAGAACCCAGGTGACTTAGCAAAGAAGAGTTAGATCTTTATGCTGCCTACATTTGAGTTCTCCTATCTGTAACAGACAGATAATTAAATTAATTCATCAATTACTAAATGAGTTCACTTACTTCATGGCATGTAATTCGTTTAGCCCGATCTGTTAAGAGGCACATCCTAATGTCAATCTGTAATAATTTGCAAATTCAATTTAATATATCAGACGTGATGAGAAAAGGGGAATTGGAGGCAGAGAGCAGAACTGCACCGAAGACGCAAAACTCCCCGGGACGACGCACGCCACGAATGGCAGCAAGAGGCTGTCAGCAAGGTCTGCTCCCTGCCCAGCCGGGCTGCAGGAACCACGCGGTGCTTGCAACAGGTCTGACACGACACCCGCAGCTGCCAGCCCGTGCTGCTGTCCCCACAGCCTCGCAGTTGGACCGGGTTTTTGCATTGTGTTCTCTCCCTTCCAGTCCCTCGTGAATAATTTTGTCGGGAGATTCCTTTTGCGCAGAATTTCTCTGTGGTTTTGGTACGGGCCAAGTGAATTCATACTAGATTATCCCCACAATTGTCTCATGTAGCAACTGGGAAGGTTAAAAGGATAAAATAGCTGAAGTGATGACTGGGGTAAGGAAGTATGTGCTGTGCGATGCCAGCTGCAGCAAAGGGCCTGGCGAGGATTTCAGAAAGAAGGAGAGGGAGGCCTTCAAATGTAAAGCCTGACGGTGATTTGAAGGCAGCATGTGCATATGTCTGTGCACAGAAAGTGTGGAGCAGGTGCTGGCTGACAGCACGTGCAGAAGTGCCCACGTACCGGTATGAAGGTGGGAGCAGCACCCCTCGAAGGCACGCCCTGCCTCTCTGCAATGCCGACTGTTCCAGCAGCTTCCTTCCAGCACGGAGAGAAAACAGGGAAAGGCACGCAATTAGCAAAGAAGGGAAAGCAGCTGAGCCATGATAACATTAGGAGGCTATATTGAGCCCTCTTTAATGGGAAAATTGAGTTAGGTTGCTACCAACAGCAAGCCAAAAATTTGTACTGGTGCACAATACTCAGGGTTAGAGCTTCAGAAGCCCACGGTCTCTCTGCTGGGTTGGTGACTGAGCAACAAACAGCATGACACGGCTGCGTGCACGGTGAGCACCCCTGGGCACCAGGCTGGAGGGCTGTGGGCACGTGGCTGGTCACTGGGCCACCTCTTTCCCAAGCTCACATTTCGGGGATAGGTGTTTAAAGGGTCAGCAGACTGCAGACAAACAGAAAACAGTGGGCAAGTGATGGATTTTTGTTTTATTCTGCCTAAATTTTGGCAGAATGTAGGTGCCCGGAGTGATAAAACCATTTATTTGGTAGCTGCTTGGGTGACTGCAAGCATATCTTAGAGCTTGGTGTTACCTGCTGCTGGTGATCAGAGGTGTCCCATCTGGGGTGATTCTCCCCTGGACTAGCAACAAACAGCCTGCACGTCCCCTGAAAGATCCCAAAACCCACCAGAATCCACGCCAACCCCAGAACTCTTTCGAGAACATGGCAAGGCAGCAGCAGTCTGGCCCCTGGGGCTCCTGCCGAGAAAGATGAGCCACGTTTTCCATCACCTTGGCCTTCAGCCTCACACTTCGTCCACCCCAGAAAATGGCAGCAGCACAGATCCAACACACAAGCACCACTTTGACAATGGTCCTGCTGCTCCTGGTGCCCTGAGAAGCCCTCTCAGAGCTACTCTGAGCATCCCCGTGTTTGCTGCCACCGTAAGTGCCCAGATGCTGGCCTAAGGCATTACACACAAGGTGCCTCGGAAGTGCCTCCATCTATCCTGGGTGGTTTGAGTCCCAGAATAATGGGAATTACATCACAGCCCTGCCATCCTCATAATTCCCAAAGCTTTCCCCCAGTCTCGGTTGGAAGTCCCATTCCTACTGTGGTGAGACGGAGCCGTCCTACACCCAACGCTTTGTCACAGCAGATGTAGGGAGCATTTCCTAACTCCGGCCCAGACAGCAAGTTCCACACCCAAGGGCAAAAATCCAGCACAGAGACACAAAACCGGGCATTTACGTGCTTTTAAAAATATTCAGAGCCAGCTCAGTACTGCCTGTTTCAGAAGGGAGCGCATGCTGCATGGGCACTGCTAAACCCTTTGACGTGAAGCTTGAAACACACAACTTCTGCTGCATTATCTCTGTATTTTGGTGTAAAATGGGTAATATCCTATATTAGAGCTTATGTTTGGGGGAAAAAAAGTAATTGAAGGAGTTCTCCAAGGCTAGTAATACAGAAAGAAAACAAAATTGATGCACAGCACTGAATGGTTAAACTAAGGAAGGAGCAGGATGGTGTCTGAGGTACTGCAACACACCACAAACTTGCATTACAAGTGTTACAGTGGCGTGCTGATTCTGCCATTCATCATCCTATCACAGCCGCTTGCTGACTGTCCTATTAATCACTGTGTCACACTTCAGAGACTCCTTACAGATTTCCCTAATAGCCCGTGTGGGATCAGCACTTTTTGCAAGGCAGGAGTTGCGCTGGGAGTTTGCTGGGGAATATATTCACCTGCATTTCCAGGCTGGAGCAGTCCTCTGTTTGCACCAGGCTGTAAAACACAAGACAAACAGCACTCATCCCGCTTTCAAGGGCCATAAAATTCCTGTTAGGTTTCCAGGTAAGATGAAGATAACGCGTATCCTGCGTGGACATGACACGAGAGGTTAAAATAACTAAAATAACTGCAGTAAGTACGTGAATTGCACTACACAAACCTGTAAAATAACCCAGGCACATGAAACAGGGAGTCAGAAGCTGGAGAGAGGTGGGAGTACAGATTATAAAACCATGAAAACTCAATTAAAGCTGTACAGTGAAGCCGACCAAACAAATACTTCTTTTTTCTTTTCCTTAAATACGTGTTACACACTTTAAGGTTTGATATTCACGATACATTGCCTTGTACCACTGTCTGTAAGAAACCTTTCCTCAAATCCCATCTCTTTAGGAGTCTGGTACCCCAGTACCAGGTATTTTGGGAGAACGGAGGGAAAGGATTTGCTACAACCCATCCCACCTTTTTCTCCCCCAAATCAACAGCACTGCCAAAGAGATGCTGAGCCTCCCTCCTGCACCACCGACCCCCTCTGCTCTGGGCAGCATCTTGCAGAGATTTCCAAGTCATCGTGAGTCGTGCGCAGCTCCACCTCTGACCCTTCCTGTCCGCCACTCCTGAGCAACACGCTTTATCTAATTAATTCAGTGGTTTTTAGGAAACCACTTCTCCCTGCCAGTTTTTAAACCCAGAGGAATTTTCTAGATGTGCAGTGACAGCGCATGAGTAATAGCTCCCTCATTAAACTACCAGGGAGTCATAAAGCATAACAAATTGTTCAGCTTCCCAGTGTTTTTCCGATTGGCTTTCCCTTTCCAAGCCCTGTAGTGCTCGCAAACATCCCAACCATCCGCGTGACGTCATTTATAGTCAGAAGCCTTAAAGGAAACAACGTGTCCACGTTGCTCAATCCTCTGGTATTCTCGCCGTCATTTATTTTTGCCCTAGGGCAGATTTAAGTTGTTTTCCTTTTTTAAATCAAGAGCTGGTTTTGCCCACAAGAAAGGGTCACGGTCAAGAAGCAGGGTGGGACAGTGCGGGAAGCTGTAAAGATGTGAACGACGAGAATAAACCCCGCTCTCCCACGGCAGGGCTCTGCATCCGCCACCACCACATCCACACTCACTGCTTCTCCTGCGTTTCAAAAATGCACATCAGCAGGGAAAGGAGAAATTCTGCCGAAGCTAAGAATACAGCTTTGCTTCTGAATAAGGTAGCTGTGTTTCTGGATTTGTTGGTAGGTAGAAAAAGGTCATTTCTTCCCTTTCAGGCTCTGGGAGTCAAACTGTCCCAAAGACAGCCTGTTGGTTCATGACATACCTTGTAACCATGATTCCTACAGTAGTTTCTGAGAATGAGGGGCAAGACTCAGCCTCCTGCTGGCCTGTTCAGGATGAAGCAGCTTGTGCTTTGTGCTGATCCAGGTGTACGCACCACTTCAGAGACTAAATCCTACCAGCTTCTTTCTGGATTCACCTCTGGCAGGTGCAAGATAACAGATCTGGAGATTCATACAATCCCAGACTGGTTTGGGTTGGAAGGAACCTCAAAGTCCACCTCATCCCAGCCCCTGCCATGGCAGGGACACCTTCCACCAGCCCAAGTTGCCCAAAGCCCCATACAGCCTGGCCTTGGGCACTGCCAGAGATGGGGCAGCCACAGCTCCTCTGGGCAGCCTGGACCTCACTGCCCTCTAAGTCCTGCAAAGAACGCAGTAAAGATGAGAACAGTGCCACCACCTTTTAAAAAAAAAATAGATTAAAAAAAAAAAAGCATAACGAGATAAATTCTGTCCTGCCTAGGAGATGAAAAGGTTTGAGAATATTTGTATTTAGCATTTATTCTGATAAAACTACAGAAAATGCTATCAAGACAGCATGATTGTCAGCATAAACCTGTAAGATGCAGGTTTACCAACAGATCCTCATGCTACAGATGGCAAAGAGAAAGACAAAATCAAGTCAGAGTAAGCTGACCTAGCATCTCACACCACCAAGACCTGAAATCTGTCTTTTAGGAAGCAGCAGAAAGAGAAAGAATGAAGAGGAACATGGAGTTCTAGATCATGGCTCACAGCGCGTTTGGCAAAGTGGCGAGGAGACCCATTAATGTACCAAGCTCACTGACCTTATATATTTCTCCAGGCAAGGGCTAGAAAACAGAACAGCTGAGCACTTACTCCCTTGTAGAGAAACCTGTTGGCATCTTGCTCTTTATCTCCAAGTCAACGGTTTTGATACTGAGAAAAAATCATCTTTAAATACACATCTGAGACTGAAAACGAGCACAGTGATTTAAGTCAGCAAGAGTCTGCTTGAGCAGTAACCGAGAAAAGACGCCAGCCCAGCGGTTCAGGAGCCTCACTGCTGGTATCTCACTGGGGTTTGGCATTCAGGCTGTCAGATCTGGCTCTTGGCATTGCTGTGCAAGTGGCAACGGAGGCTGGATCAGCTTGCCAGCCTAGCTCATCCCATCAAAAGGCACCGAGGTACTGGTGGGAAACGGGGATTTCCAGCAGGGTTGAGATACACGGCAGGCACAGTGGCAGATTGCACTGATGAACTGAAAGGGAATTGGAAATTTGGGGTATTTTAGAGAAGGTTTGTGTAAGATGAGACAAGGGAATAGCACAGGAAATGAATTACGAAGACAGACAAAACTCTCACTGCCCCACGAGCATGCCAAAGCCAAGCTCTTCCAAGGGTTCAGAAATCAGGTCTTTGGGTAGATGCTGAAAACATCCAAGACTGGATGTTAGTGTGAAAGAACAAGGTAAATAAACCCTCAAATCTTTGCTAACTGTCCTTCGTAGCCAGTCCTGTGCTCCTGTTCAAGCTGAATGTTTCAGAAACAAGCACGCTACTACACCAGACTTTGCAAAGTGTTTCCAAAGCAGCAGGGACCATCAGGCCAGGTGACAGCTCCTCATTAAAAAAAAAAGCAAGGAGAAACAAAAAGCCAACCTCTTTTCTAGGCGGTGAATGACACCGGCATGAGACTGACAACTTTTGGAATGAGGTCATCTCCGCTTCCCTTCAGAAATGATGCTAGCAAGTAAAATTAACAATAATTAAAAACTCCTTTCACAAAGGGACACTATACGTTTATTATCTCTGTTGAAGCCTAATCAAAACCATCACAATGGGCTTGTTGATTTTTTTAAACCAAGACATGATAGAAAAGAGAAGGAAACTGGCAGTGAAACTGCCAGTGAAATTGGGCAGTGAAGCCCAATTTTCTTATGTGCTGTAGTGTTTTGGCTCAACATGTACGTTGTCCCCTACTTTCATAGAACAACTCACTATTTACGACTAAGCAATGACAGAACAACCAAAAATTCTTGTTTGGAAACAAAAAGCTTAATGGGCAAATATGTGTGACCTTGACACCAAAATTTTGACAGCAGCGTAAGCAGTAAGCTACAGTCACACTCACCAAGAGTTATTGGCTTTGCATCTGAGGATTTTCTTTCCCAGGTATCCAGCTGCAAAAACATCTTTAGTTTCTCTGCATCCCAATTGACTATTACAAATTCTGCGGTGTTCACTGCAAGGACATGAAATATTTTTTTATTTCTAAACTATTTCTTATTCTTATTTGCTTCACCTTATATGGGAGCAAGATCACTCAGTATGAATGTGCCATTGCTGAAATATAACGGTGTCTGCAGCTCTGGTCATTTTAGGTGCTGTGCAGTGCCCTGCCTGGCCTACAGCTACTATCTACAGCACTGCATCAGTCCCAGAAAACTCACGTTGTACCTGCTGGCCCCACAGATACGTCCCAGGTACCCTGAGGTGTCTCTAAGGCACCCCACACCCGCGTGCCAGCAACTGAATCCTGTCTCTGGGCATTTGTAGACAGGTACACGAGAAGGCATTAAGTTATTTGGTCTTTGTGCCAGAGCCAAATCCCACCCATGTATTCTGCTGCACATCCACAGTGTAGCAAGAATTAAAAAAAAAAAAAAAAAAAGGAAAGTGAAACAACAAAAAACCTTTATAAAGGTTTTTGTTTTTGCTGTGGGCAGTGAAGGTTCCGCTGCTCTTTCCCAAGGAGGACATTTAGATGTTGGTGTCTCCCTCCGAAAGCAGGCAGAGCTGCCAGATGGGATTTACCAGCAGAGCTTTAAGGCACAGGTTAGACCTTGGCAAGTGGCTTTGCCCACGAACAGGAGCCCTTAGATCACAAGATTTGTTTCTGAAGGATTTACTGCTGTAACCCCGAAGCATCCCTGCTGCTACGCACCTGAACGCTGCCTATGGCCATCGTGGATGGGTTTCACGGCCCCGCCGAGCCTCCTCACTGTAGCAGGGGTAAATGATTTGCTCAACCAAGCCCATTTTAGAGAAGGTGGCTACTGCTGGGAAATGAGAGTGTTAAGAGGAGAGTGCCGTGCACAGGACCACCTGTCCATGGCAGGAGAGGTGCCAGCAGCATCCAGGAATAGCAGCGGGCGGAAGGGAAGGAAATTCAGGCTCTTAAGCAAGAGGTCAAGCCAACCCCAGCTCCTCGGCACTTCAAGGATGGGTTTGCAGTGAATCCCTGCTGGTACCGAGCACGAGGTGGGAAGGCTGAGGGCCACGCAGAGGGAGGATGTTGTGAACCACGAGCAGAGAGGTCTGCTGCTGGTGTCTGGTGTGCGCTTACAGCTGGGCTGACTGTAAACAGGGCGACCACGTGGCATCCGGAGTGTCACTCACCAACTTCCTCAGTGTCACGCAGCCTTACAACAGCGGCGTCAACGTCTACCAGCCCAGCAGGCGCCTGCAAAAAACAGGAGCCTTTATGCAGCTCCTATGAACAACGCCCATCTCAGCCATCTTCCATGACTCAGGGATCCGTTTCTGGATGCTCGCGCGTGTTTTCCACTTCCTTTCCCTGCAGTGTATGTAACAGAAACGAATCTGAGTGCTGACACAGTGAGTAGATTGATTGCAGTCTTTTATTTTTTGGACCGAGGCCCAATTTTCTGTCTGATCTGGTTCTCAGAT